TCCACTCTATCTATACTTCTGATCATTTTGTCCATCTCTATCAAGTCACCTCTCATCCTTCGTCATTCTAAAGAGAAAAGCCCTAGCTTTCTCAACCTTTCCTCATATGGTCTTCCCTCCATTCCAGGCAACATCCTGGTAAATCTTCTCTGCACCTTTTCCAATGCTTCCACATCTTTCCTGTTAGGAGGCAACCAGAACTGGACACAATATTCCAGATGTGGCGGAACCAGGCTTTTGTATAGCTGGAGCATAACTTCACGGCTCTTGAACTCAATCCCTCTATTAATGAAAGCTAACACACCATACGCCTTCTTAACAACTCTATCCACCTGGGTGGCAGCTTTCAGGGAACTTTGGACATGAACCCCAAGATCCCTCTGCTCCTCCACACTGCCAAGAATCTTTCCATTAATCCTGTATTCTGCTTTCAAGTTTCTCCTTCCAAAATGAATCACCTCACACTTTTCAGGGTTAAATTCCATCTGCCACTTCTCAGCCCAGCTCTGCATCTTATCAATGTCCCTTTGTAACCTCGAACTGCCCTCCGCACTAACCACAACTCAACCCACTTTGTATTGTCCGCGAACTTACTAATCCACCCTTCCACTCCTACATCCAAATCATTTACAAAAATCACAAATAGGAAGAGGACCCAAGACAGATCTTTGTGGTACACCACTCATAACTGAGCACCATGTTGAATATTTTCCGTTCACTACCACCCTTTGTCTTCTCAGGGTCAGCCAATTCTGAATCCAATCTGCCACATTTCCCCCGATCCCATGCCTCCTTACTTTCTGCATGAGCCTACCATGGGAAACCTTATCAAACGCCTTACTTAAATCCATGTATACCACATCCACTGCTCTACCTTCATCCATGTGTTTGGTCACCTCTTCAAAGAATTCAATAATGTTTGTGAGGCCTGATCTACCCCTCAAAAATCCATGCTGTTTGTGTCAATCAGATAATTCCCAGCTTTTACTGACGAAATATCAATGGGAAAGTGGGACAGTACTGTGATGTCCCTCGCTCTGTTGTCAGGAAAGAGGTGAATGTGTTTAATAAACTCATGATTATTTGTACAACGAACGAACTTCCACTCGTACAACAGATCCATGTAATCCCCTGATGTTCATCTGTGAAATGGATTGATGTTCATTCTCAGAAACTAATTAAAAGTAAACTCGCTGTCTTTACTGGTTAACTACAGTCCCACTCACACCTTGTGTTAGTCTGTATGAAAATACTGTGCTCACCTGTGGGGTAAATTTGTGTTCCTCGCTGCAGAAGGTTCTGTTCCCTTGTCTGGATAAAAGTGTTTTATACCCATTTTGAAACTGCAGCTTAGTCTCTGTGTGGGTTTTAGGTATGGGACCAATTTGTGTGTGCGTGTGTGAGAGAGAGAGAGTTTGTGTGAGTGTGTGTGGCGGGAGGGGTGCAAGGGAGGAACAATCAGGAGACATTGGACTGAACTTCTGGGTTGCTGCTTTCTCTCCCCCTCCTCCTCCCACACCCCTAACCTCACAAAGAAGCTTCTTGGTTTGCTCCATATCTGGAGGATGTGTGTTCCAGGTAGAGACAGCTGGCAACTGATTGGGTAGCTGGGATTTGGGAGGAGAGCGGGGTTTGAATGACAGAACTTGGGGTTTATAAAATTGGTCTTGGCAGCCATACTTCCCTTCTTCATGTGGATGAAGACAGGAGGTGAGTGTCAGAGTTATTCTGGCTGTCTGTGTCTGTGCGAGAAACAGTGTGGGTACAGCTGGAATCTCAATGCCAGTTTTGGACTGTACCATTCGCTTCCTGAAGCAGCCCTGGTGAGTATTGGCTCTTCAGACTCTGTATCCCTGAACTCCTGGCTGTCTCTCACTGACTTCTTCTCTTCTTGTCTCTCTTTCTCTCTGTTTTCTCGCTTTGTGTCCCCATCTTTCTCTCTAAGTGTCTCCTTTTGTCTCTCCTTGTTTTCTCTGTCTCCCTGTCACTCTCTTTCTCATTCTTTCTTTCTCTCTCTCTGTCTCTCACATTCAACTCTTGTCTCTCTTTGTTTCATTCCCTCTCTCGCTTCTCCCATTGTGTTTCTGTCTCTTTCTTTCAAAGTCTCTCCTCGTCTCCCTTTTGGTCTTTCTCACTCTTTGTCTCTTTCTCTCACCTGCGTCTGTCTCTCACACAGTCAACCTCTGTATCATTTCGTTTCATTCTCTCTCTCACTAGCAACCACTCTTTGCCCCCTACCCCTTTCTCTTTGTTCCCTCCCCCAGCCTTCTCTCTGTCTTTTCCCTCCAAATTTCTCTCTCCTTTCCCTTCATTTTTCTCGCTCTCCCTTCCTTCCATCTTTTTCTCCCTCTCCTTTCCCTCCATTTTTCTCTATTTCATCTCCTGGTGTCTTGTCGCACTGCCACTTTCTTTCCTGCCTCACTCCCAAAATTTTGTTTCCATTCAAAATTGCCAAATTCCAACCCCCCGCGCCTCCACAAATATGACTCTCCCTGCAAATTTGACCCTAGAATTTTGTCAATTTGAGTCTCCGTATACCCCTCTCATTTCACACTCTCTTCTTCCTCCATTTTCTGCCTCCAATATAACCACCAAGTTTCACTGCTGCCCAGTTTTGTCCCTCTCTTTACCTCCCAGAAGCATGTCCCCAATTTTGTCCCACCCTTACAGTATTGTACCCACATCCCGAAATCTTGTGCTGCTGAAAACAATATTGCCCCTGCCAGATAGTGCACTCCCCTAACACAAATATTTTGCTGCCCTACCCACCAAATATTGTCCCCTCAATTATTGCATTTCCCAATTTCAGTTCCGCAGAAGTTTGTTCTCCATCCCAATTTTGCAACCTCCCCACTTTACGTCATCTCAAATATTGTCCCCCACAAATTTTTGCACTTGTTTAAATATTTCCCCCGTGACTTTTACCCCAATGAAAATTTTCAGCCTCACAGTTTCTGAGAGCTGCCTGTGTAGCTTCACCCTCTTTCTCCGTTCCTCTGTGATGCCTCCACTGTGTATAGATAACCCACTATCTCCCTCCATGTGCAATACCCAAATCCCCTCTCACCCTCACTGGATCCCTGACCCCACCCCAGGGAGTACAGCCAGAGACACTCTGGCCTGTTCACTGACTGCATTACAGCACAGCAAAATCCCAGTTCGCTGGCAGACCCCCTTCCCCCCCCACTGAGAAAGATGTTTTATCTAACAAGCCCGACCACCTTTCAGTTTAGACAAAGCACGATGGGGCAAAGACCAGGAAGATCCCCTGCAATTACGAGAGAGAGAGAGAGACAGAGACAGACACAGAAATCCCATTGAGAACAAGAGAGAGAGAAATCCCATGGACAGGACAAGAAAGGACAGATACAGGGAGTGAGAGAGACAGAAGGGACAGAGAAAAATCGAGAGAGAGAAGAGCAGACAGAGATACCATCCAGAACAAGTGACAGAGATGGGGGGGGGGGGGATGCAGACAGAACGACCCTCGGGCAGGAACAGCAAGATCACACAGGACAATGAGAGAGAGAAAGAGAGAGGAGTGTTGTGGAGAGGTGAGTGGGCAAACTTGGAAATCAGAAAGACTGAACAATGAAACAGTTCTTGAAAAACCCGGGAAGGGGACAAGACAGTTGCAGGGAAGAATATGAGGGGGTGGGGGAGAGTGAACAGGGGTAGATGTAAATACCTCCCCTGCCAACACTGACCATCAGCATCAATCCGCCGACAGTGTGGCACTCCCTCAGTACTGATCCTCCGACAGTCCCTCAGCACTGACCCTCCAACAGTGCGGCACTCCCTCAGCACCGACCCTCCTCGCAGTGTTTACTTGAATGCACCATTATTTCTTCAATGCTCACCCTGCTTTCAGCCTCCGACATCATCATGTTTCAGGGTCTTTATATTCACCTCTGTGAGCAGCCAACTGAGTCACAGCCTGTGTCCTACATAGGGCCTAATGAGGCCTTTGTACATGGACAGCACATTACCCAAGTTTCCAACTGAATTTACAACATTGCCTGTCTTTGCTATCACATCTTTGCACTGGTTGTGTCTTTTTAAAGAGACTCATGCTTAAACCGATTCCATCCCTGGCAAAAAGGTTTACACTGCTTACTACACAACAGCTCCCAGTGAAGAAGAGGGCCAGCAAACAGTCAGTTCGGACTTCAGCTACATGAACCACCGTCACTGGATTCACTCTGCTTATCCCATGTACGTTTTCTGTGCAGAGAGAACACAACAATGCAGCCAACATCTCTCACTGCCTCAACACCCAAGATGTGGAGGTACCGGTGTTGGACTGAGGTCAACAAGTTCAGAAATCACACAATACCAACAGGTTTATTTGAAAACACAAGCTTTTCGAGTTTTACTCCTTCTAACTGATTAAAGATTTAACAGCATCTTCGGTTTGTTTAGTACATCCTCATCAATGGTGTGACCCTTTGATCTTTTACTTATAAATTGTGTCTGATACTACCGCTCTCACTAACGCCTGACAAAGGAGTAAGACTCTGAAAGCTTATGTTTTCAAATAAACCTGTTGGACTATAACCTGGTGTCGTATGATTTCTGACCTTGTCAACACCCAAGTCCAGAGATCACAAGCATAGTCTATTCACTACTTTTCTCTTTCCTGTTCACAGGATGATTTCAATGAACCCATCCTGTTGTTCAAATTCAAATCATCACATTGAGACTGGAAATCTCCATTCACCTCCTCCCCTCTCCCAATAATCCAGTCCAGTCCTACTGCGAACAAACTCTGCACTTTCCTGGTGAGATCAGCTGACACCAAATAGTGGGAAGGGGAAAAGAGTCCAGGGATGTCAGATTGATACTGGGGAGACAGCAGAGCAGCGGGGTGAGTTGGGATTGATTCAGGGCAGGCTGTGATGTTGGGAATCACTGTAGCTTTGAGCTGTAAGGAGGTGACCAGAGGAAAGGGAGGTGTCTTACCATGCTAAAGGCAAGCTGACAGCGAATAGCAACGGAAAGCAGATTTAACATCAGGTTTATTGGCGAGCCCAAACACTGTACAAAATAAAACTTCTGGAAAAAAAAAGTCAGTTGAAGACACACCATTCCCTAGTGCCCCAATCCTGACCACACAACGTCTGTCCCTAACCCAATCATCTCATCCTGTTCTGGACTCATTCATGGGGTCAAACCATGACTTGAGTGGAGTATCGGGTCAGCCACAGGGTGGAGTCCCAGCCCTATACACTGTCCGGGAGTGACAGGGCCGCAAAACATCAGAGCCTAGACCTGCCAACCTTCTCCAGCTGGGTCCACAATGGTTGTGGGCAAATAACTGCCACACGTGCAACAAGCTGCAATGAGGTACAGTCTCTGTATCAGCACTGTCGACCCTTCCCAAATGCCCGAGGGAGCTCAGTCTGTGTGTCCCCCAACTTGGGGACAGAGTCTACCACTCCTGGCCGCCAGCAAGAGCCTAATCCTGTCCTGCTGCAGGGTTGAAGATCTTAGCAAGCAGTGCAACGTTGGACTGGGATTTGTCGTGGATCTCGGCTGCCTTGCCAAGCTCACGGGCCTTTCTCTTGCGGCTGGCAGCCTTGCTGGCCTGGATCTCCATCTCGGTCTCCCGCTGCTTAAAATGCCAGCTCTTCTCTTGCCACTCTTGTCCTTTCTTCCTCTTTATCTCCTGCAGTTTGTCCAGGCCTTTGCTCTTCTCCACATTTTGGAGGAAGAAGTTGGTCTCACGCTTGGCCTGGGACACCTCTGCCCGCATTCTCTGTCGCCTGACCAGCTTCTCATAAGCGAGTCGTTCACTCAGGTGAATCCACTTGAAACGGTGCAGATACTGTCAGGAACAGAAACACGCACTCAGAAACAATGCGGCTACTGTCAGGAACAAAAACATATACTTAGGAGGGGTATGGATAGCAATGGGCTTAGCCAACTGGAAAGAACATTGCAGATGGAATATAAAATGGGTAAATGTGACTTCATCCAGTTTGGTAGGAGACCCTGGTGGGCAGAGTATTTCTTAAACGCTCAGAAGTTAAAAAGTGCAGCTGTATAAAAGGACTTGGGGTGTCCTTGCCAATAATTCACTGAAGGCTAACATATAGGTGCAGCAAGGTATTAGAAAGGCTAATGGAATATTAGCTCTTAACACAAGATGATTTGAGTATAGGTGTATCGAAGTCTTGCTACAATTGTAAAGCAGCTTAGCTTATCACCCCTTCCAACTCCACCATGACTTAGTCCCTTGGAAAAACTCAATGGTGTTTGCATTCCCCATAACGGTCTTTACTTGTAAATACTGGATTGGCTACACAGGTGATTACTGGTGGCAGTCATAAGAAAACGAAACAAAAACAAAACAATTGTCATGGTGATTTTGGCGGTAGGAAAGTCGCTCAGTTGTGCATAATAGCATTTCTGGGTATGGGTTTGAAAAAAAAAAGAGGAGCTTGGCTTGACCACGCTGGGAGAACTGTGCACAGTTTTGGTCTCCTTATCTCAAAGATATTATTGTCATAGAGGGAGTGCAACAAACGTTCACCAAACTTCTTGCCGGGATGATGGGGCTGTCCTACGGACAGAGATTGGGCAAACTCAGTCTATATTCTCCACAGTTTCAAAGAATGAGAGATGATCTCATTGAAACCACAGAATACTTCAAGAAATAGGCAGAGTAGATGCAGCTCAGAGGTTTTCGTGGTTGGAGTAGACTAGAACCAGGGGCACAATTTAAAAATAAGGATATGACATTTAAGGCAGATGAGGATAACTGAGTTTTTACTCAGAGGGTTGGTAAATCTTTAGAAGTCTCTACCCAGGGGGCCTGGAAGCTCAATCGTTGAGTACAGTTAAAGTGGAAGTTGATCAATTTTTCACAAATCGATGAAGTAATGGATTATGGGGATAATGTGGTTAAAAGGCATTGAGAAGTTCAATCTGCCATAATAGTATTGAATGGTGGAGCAAGCATGAAGGGCTGAATGGCCTCCTCCTGTTCTTATGACGAATGCACCAGAAAAGACAGCACCCCTACCAAGTGCTCCTCACTAATGTCTGGGGACATGTGCCAAAATTGGGACAACAGTCTCACAGACCAGTCAAGCAACAGTCTGTGCAGGATAATTCTGAGAGAATAGCTGCAACACAGACACCGTCATTTCCATCTCTAGATACGTCCTGACCTACTAGCAGGACAGACCCATCAGAGGCTGTAGCACAGTACTGTAGAGACAAGAGTTCAGTGGCCCTGCGAGATCTCAACATCGGCTCCATACAATTGTTCCTGAGATCTAACTCCTGGTGGGATCTGGGCAGCGGTCACACAATTTCAATCCTACAACAAACAAAGAACTGTTGATGCTGGAAATCTGAAACAAAAGAAGTTGCTGGAGAAACGCAGGAAGCCTGGCAGCATCTGTGGAGACAGCAAAACAAAGTTAACGTTTCAAGACGAGTGTTCAGTGCCCAGTTTTCCGGTGAAGGGTCACTGGAACTCGGAAGGGTAACTCAGTTTTGTCTCTCCACAGATGCTGCCAGACCTGCTGAGTTTCTCCAGCAATTTCTGTTTTTGTTTCAGTTCAATCCTGTTGGGATTCCAATCCTTGAGGGAGAAGCAACAGGCCATTGACCTTTTCTTTCTATATATCCACTGACTTTTAGTGTGGCCTGTGATTGGATCTCTAAATGACTTTCCAAATGTTATCTCTTTGTTTTGAATCACGTGGGTATCGCTGGCTGGGCCAGCATTTATTGCATGTCCCTAGGTGCCCCTAGGGAAGGTGGTGGTGAGAGCTGCCTTTTTGAATAACCAAGTGGTTTTCAAGGTCATTTCAGAGGGCAGTTAAGAGACACCCACGCTGCTGTAGGTCCAGGGTTACACACAGGTCAGACCAAGTCAGGATGGATGACTCCATTTCCAAATGTCGTTAGTGCACCGTCAACAAACTGGGAATTTCATGGGCGCCATCACTGAGACTAGCTTTGAACTCGGATTTTGACCAATGAAACTAATTTGAATTTTACAGGTGCCCTGGCACAAGTTGAATTCATCTTTCAAGACATCTGCATTAGAGTCCAGGAACATAACCAAAACTCCCTCTTCAAAAGGTTTACCTTTATATTCCACAAGACATCACGGAAACGGCTACGCTTCCGGGTCCCGATTGGTGTGTTGTGGAGACTTCTGGCCACTCTCTTGGCGATAGCTTTGCTCTGGAACTCCACCCAACCTTCAGCTTGACCCTTCCATCTGTTCCTGCTTTTCTTCTTCCTCCAGGTCTTCCATTGATCTGGAAAGAAAAGGAAAGGCTATCACTTAAGATTGTGCCTTGCCCTTTTCCTGTTCTTTTCACTCACCCCATCAAAAATCAAAAGGCAAGGCACCACACAGAGTAAGATGGATTTGAAGTTCATGGAAAAACATGCAGTGTGCTAGAGGAGTGGTGACTTGCAGGAATATATCGTGACATTGCCCATCTCTCTCTTTCACATGCATTTCCCCTTACTCTGTCTTTCACAGTTATCCCTCTCCCTCCCTCTCCATGCACCTCCACCTTCTGTCTCCCTCTCCCCAGCCATCGTACACAGCATGTCCCACTTGCACCCTCCGCCTGTATCCCACAGCACACTCTCCCCAAACTTCACCAGTCTCTATCTACTCCCCAATCCCCATACCCCAACTCCACCACACTCACCTGTCTATCACCTCTCTAACACACACAGCCTCCCTCTCACACATTCTCTCTCTCATGCCATCCCCTCATACACACTAGCACACTTCCCCATCACTCCCTTTCTGTCTCACACACACACACACACACACACTTCCCCACCCCTCTCTCTCTCACTCACACATCGGCCTCTTCCTCACTCTCATTCTCTCTCTATCACCAAACCCCTCTCTCACACATACACAGTCCCTCTCCCTCCCTCTCACATATTCTCTTTCTTGCCAATCCCCTCTTACTCTACCCTCACACACACTAACACACTCTCTCTCTCTCCCACACAAATACACACTCCTTCTTTCCCACATGCTCCCCCCTCTCTCTCCCCCCCCCCCCCCCCCCCCCCCCCCCCACCCACACACTCCGCCTGGGCCACAGTCTCCCCCGCGCTCTCTCCCACACACACACACTCCGCCTGGCCCACAGTCTCCCCCGCGCTCTCTCGCACACACACACACTCCGCATGGCCCACATTCTCCCCCTTTCTCTCTCTCACACTCACACACACACACATTCCCACATTCTCTCCCTCACACTCCTCCTGGCCCACAGTCTCCCCCTCTCTCTCTCCCACACACACTCCTTCTTGCCCACATTCTCCCCCTCTCTCTCACACACACACACACGCTCGTCCTGGCACACAGACTCCAGCCCCTCTCTCTCCCACACCCACACACACACGTTGCTTCTTTCCCACATTCTCCACCCCTCTCTCTCTCTCACACACACACACTCCTCCTTTCCCACATTCTTCCCCCTCTCTCCCACACACACACACACAC